GGGGTTTCCGCTCGTGGGATCTATACGAATTTCCGCTATTGCAGCGTACGACCAAGCATTCGTGGGCCATTAAGACCGCGACTCACTGGAGAAGCCGCGATATGTAATTTTTGCTCTGCAGACAGGGCGTAAAAATGTCATGTCCGAGGATACGAGTCGATTCGACGACTGTAAATTAACCAACGTGAAACTCTTTCTGAACTCGGAAAGTTATCCGTACGACATGATCTGGATTTTGATTTTGATAAAAACAGATGGTCAATTCTGTACGACACCTACACACGTTTCTGCAAGAACTATTACGGATACGAATACCTCGAGCCCAATCTCACCATCACACGGTTTTTACAAAACGGTCCGTTTGTGATTATCGATTGTTCTCGACAAAACGAATCGATCAAGAGCGCAACGGTGGATGTGAGATTGGAATTTGAGTGTAAGGAAAACGTGCCTAATAATACCACTGCGTACTGCCTCATTATACACGATCGTGTGATCCAGTACAACCCGTTGACCAACGTTGTGCGCAAAATCACCTAAAAAATGTTTACACAAATACGCGTGTGAAAGAGGGGAGGAGGAGGATACATAATCAAGATGATGTGAGATGTTTGATGTTAGTGAAGTAATACCTCTCGACTGACTCGCATCGAAGAGATCATGTCCGCACCAACGTTTGTCGACCTGCAAGGATTTATACTAAACAAACGATTTATCGTAAAGGAAGCGGCAATCCTGAGAAGAGGATATATCCTGTCGCACTATTTCTTCGCATGCCCTGTGCCATGGAGCGTGCTTATAAAGTCGGAAAGGCATCAGGCCTCGTGGCTAACTCAACATCATCACAGCTTACAATGGGAGGATGGAAATGTTCCATACGGCATGGCTCAGCGCTTGATTACGGCAGCTATCGTTGGCATAAATGAGCAAGAAGACGATGAAGAGTCCTCTCTCGTGTATGTAAAAGGACTCGAAAAGCGAGAATGGCTGGCCGAAATAATGGACGATGCGAGCAGCGGTTTCACCATTGAGACCTTGGATGCCATATATGAAGATGTACCTGCATTAAATAAGTTAGATCCCACATATACTCTACGATGTAATAAACATGTAAAAAATTGTGCGTTACAAAATGTATTTAAATTATTCAATTGGTGGTCGGCCGCAAAATCCAGGCTTGGATCCGACGATCATCCGTTTTTTTGAATAAACATATTGTTTACATACTATTTTCTTTGTTTATTTCTCTCCCTCACCAGATATATATTTCTAAGAAATCCTTTTCTCCTATATTTTAAATATTTCTCTTGTTTCCCTCCAGATATATATTTCTAGGAATCCCCTTCTCCTAATATTTTAAAAATGAGTGTTACTCGATTATTAGTACTTTTGTACGATCAGTCTCTCGTCGACTGTTCTGACTGGTGGTTCACTTTTTAATACCCTCGAGAAAAATATTCTGCACCAAAAAGCAGCAGCATGAATTACTACATGCCGAGACGCGATGAAACGTGCGAGAAGAAATGCGACGAGTAAGTATAACTTTTTCTATTTATATATTTTATATTTTTTCTATTTTTATATTTTTTATGAGTTATAATTTTTTTTTCCTAATTTAGTTTTAATTTTTTTTTCCTAATTTTTTTACAGCGTTTCGCTGGAGTCTCGTGCGGTTCGTATACTTGGAAGACGATACGCATTGACGACCACGGAATTCAAATTCCTCGAAATCGGCATCAGAGTGGATCCGCCGAGTTACGTGGAGATCGCCATAGGAGATCATCGGGGAAAACAGCTAATACTATCTCTCGAAACGTGGAAAGGACTCTACGAGCAACGTCACACTATTCAAAATTATTTGAACAATGACTCTCTCAACAACGATGTGTATAACTTCATAAGTGTCGGGCCGCTAACAGTACGTTTTCACAAGATAAACGACACCAAGCTCATAAGTCTCGAATCGGCGGACGTGCGCATGATGATGGTCGAATCGACGTTACGTCGTATGTTCGAGCTCGATTCATGCATCGAAATAATGTTCGATCGATTGACGAGGCTCATCGCAACGGTCGATATCAAACATACGCAATTCTCCAATATTGCATCCACTGTAACGAATGCGAGAGAATTGCCGAATGCGATACGCGCTAGCAACGCCTTCGACATGCACCAACTTGTCGATTGCGAGCTGGTGGCTTTAGTTTTTAATATGTAATAAAACTTTATATATAATTATGTATTAAATATAAGACAAATAAATACTTATATGTATATCATGGTGTACTTTATTTGCGCGCCACCCGTTACATACTTTGCGAGAGAGCAACCACTAGAAAAGAAAGAGACAGCGCGCGAGAGAGAAATCGGATGTGGCGGCGAGAGAGAGAGATTCGGCGGCGGTCGCGGCGAGGGAGAGAGAGAGACGGCGAATTAAGACGCGAGAGAGAGAAAGAAGACGGGCTGCAGCGAGAGACGTACGCGAGAGCGAGAGAGAGAAAGAAAAGACGGGCTGCAGCGAGAGACGTACGCGAGAGAGAGAGAAAAGAAAAAAGAGACATACGAGTTTTGAGAGAGGACGTCGAAATAAGATGCGAGAGAAATGTGAAGGAGAGAGAGAGAAAAAGAGAGAGCTTTTAAAATATTTTTAATAATTTCTTTATATTTTCCTAATATTTAAAAGGGAACAAGAGGTAAGGAAGACATTTTAATCTAAAATAAATACACTCATTTGATAATAATATTTTTTTTAATCTATAAAATATGTGTACATTTACATTTGTGTGTGTGTGTGTGTGTAAAATTAAAAATGAAAAAAATAAAAATAAAAAATAAAAAATAGAAAAATAGAAAATATAAAAATATAAAATATAAAATATATAAAAATAAGGATATAAATGAAAAATAAAAAAATAAAATAGTTTACATTATGGACGATTGGGTGGCGACGGTGACGGCGGCGGTGATTGCGGCGGTGATTGCGGCGGTGACGGCGGCGGTGACGGCGACGGCGTGGCGGCGGTGTAGGCTGAGGCCTAACATCTACGCGGTCTGGTAGAGTGAAAAGCTGCACCAGACCCCAATCAGCTTCGTCGTCGCCTCTTAAATATGCGTCCCAATCCGACATCTCTGGAACCATTATTGGAACGTATGGTTCATCTGTAAACATAACAATTATTAATTTAAAAATATAACAATTATTAATTTAAATATAATATACAATATTATAAATTTTATTCTTACCGTCCCAATTTTCATACACAGGTACAGGTTCCGGCTCGAACAGCCACACCAGACCCCAATCATAGAAATCGCCGTCATCGTCTCTTATATATGGGTCCCAATCCCAATCACACATATCTGGAACCATTATTGAAATGTAAACATAACATTATTCATTTAAAAATATAATACAATATTATAAATTTTATTCTTACCGTCCCATTCGTCATCCCCTATCCATTCTTCAAAGTCGTCATCTGAATAATTTTCCCATTCTGCATCCCTTAATATATCATAAACGAGGTCCTTAATCACCCAACAACAACAAATAATACAGAGGGCAAACTACAAAAAAAATATTAATATTAATATATTTTTTCCTCCACTATTAAATAATATTTTTGCACTTAAAAAGCACTACCATTTTCGTTGTAATGTCCCGACACTTCGTTGAGGACCGTTCGAAACTTTATGATTGCAGAGACAGCCCTGCTCTCCACAGGCTGTACCCCACTTAAAAAATCTTCACAAAGAACTATATCTATTTCAAAAAACATTCCAAGTGTCGAATGTTTACATCTCACGTTCGAGAGAGCCGGTGGGTCGCATCCATGCGAGAGGACACGTGGAGAGGCGCGCGCTCTTCCGTGCATATGCGAGAGAGAAAACGAGCCGCAGCGGCGACAGCGCGAGAGAGAGACAGTGAGAGAAGATGCAAAAGAGAGAGACATCGCGTGAGAGAAAGAGACATACGAGTTTTGAGAGAGAGACGTCGAAATAAGACGCGAGAGAATGTGAAGGAGAGAGAGAGAAAAAGATAATTTTTAATAATTTCTTTATATTTCCTAATATTTAAAAGGGAACAAGAGGTAAGGAGGACATTTTAATCTAAAATAAATACACTCATTTGATAATAATATTTTTTTTTAATCTATAAAATATGTGTAAATTTACAAAATTTGTGTGTGTGTGTGTGTGTGTGTGTGTGTAATTATTTATAATATAAATTTATAAAATTATAAAAAGATACAAATATAAAAAAGATATATGAAATCAAAATTATATAAAATAAACATATAAATAATATATAAAATTATATAAAATTATATAAAAAATATATATAAAAAAAAGCCGTCGGAGGCGAGAGAAATTCGGCTCGGGCCTGCGGGCGAGAGAGAGCGGCGGCTCGAGGTAGCGGCGAGAGAGAGCCAGCGGGCCTGCTGCGACTGCGAGAGAGGGGGTCGCGTTAACCATCGCTGTCAGACTGTGTCTCGGCATCTGCACATAGAAATATAATAAATTATTATACTATTTTATAGATTTTTTGGTATTTTAATATATATATACTTACAGCCTTGACAGATTGGGCACAAGTTGGCCAGGAAGAGTACGAACACTCTTTCTAAACAATCGATGCAATAAAGATGCGGTACATCCCTGTACCGCATCGTCACGTGCCTGTGCGTTAGTGTAGTTGCTGCGAATCTTTCCCTGTTTCTCATGAAACAGGGAATGCAGATTTTCACTGACCCTCCTGGTGAGACGTATGCTGTTATAACGCATACCCATGTATCTTCGTCGAGGGATGCAACTGCTCGTACATCTAACGTACGCGAGTGGCACGACTCCCGAACAGCGTTTTCGCTTTCGTACCCATCGTCATGCAAATCTTCTTCCTCCTCTTCTTCTTCTGCTTCTTCTTGCTCAACAATGGTATGACATCACCCTCCATTTCTTCTATATCATCTAAGATGATATTCACCTCCCTGTCGTACACAGGGTCGTACATCTCGGCGTCGCTCTCGCTGTCGCTGTCGGAGATCGTGATGACCTCCATCTCGTCATCAGAAACGTTGATCGCAATGTCTTTTTCCATTTTTTTTTTCAACACGCGTTTGCACAATTATGATACAAGTCAATGAATTTTTTCCGCACTTCCGTAAATAAGTATAGCCACTAGACTTTTTTCACGGACTGATCAGGATGCTGTCAAATCCTAGACTGGATGATTTTTGAGAGCGCATAGGTCCTCAATATATATATTCGTTCAGCCCTTTGTGCTTCACATGCGATCGAACTTATCTCAGAAAGAAAGATGATCGGTCGTAAAAGAGCAGCCGCTGCAGCAGTTGATTATTGTTTTGTTTACACCTCGTGAAAATATGTCTTGACACATTACTACAATCCTCTCTTTCACGCGTGATAAAACTTATCTCATAAACACTGCTATACTCTTCGCATATATTGTACACCTATTTTATCACAGAAAAGATAAATAGGCTGCCGACAAGAAATCTGGCGATGATGACGATGACGACGATGGCGGTGGTGACGGTTCTCTCCTATCTGACTCCTCTATTTCTTGGTCCGAATCATAATCAGATGATTGTGTTTTGCATGATACCGATGGTGAAGGCATATCCATGTCGGCAAAATAAAGGTTGTCCACAGTAAAATATTCTGCGCAATTTTTGTAGCGACGCTGATAACATGCGACTCGCTTGTGTCGTTTAGATGATCTGGTGCATTTGGATAACCCACCAGTCACTCTTAAATGTCTTCGTGAATTTCCAGGAAATAGGCAACATCATTGTATGCGGTTTTTGCACACCAAGTTCGCGATTTCTTACGAATTGCACAACTGAAGTCACCGCTTCACGTTTAAAATCAAACGGGTCATCTTTTTTTTCATCATAATAGCATTCATCGAGATGTCTATACCATCTCTCGGCAGCCTTATAACACCCCTTCTCATGACACTCTGCATGATTTGCGGTGCGCTCTCCATTTTGTAAAAATTCACTTGTACTGCACAGAAATAACTACTTTAATTGCACACTAAACTTTTTTTTCTCACAGCTATTTTTCCTTGAGGAAAGCGTGCGCTCGCCAGTGGTACTATGGCCCGGCAGCGGCATCGGTCCTCGTTATATATCCCAATCAACCCTTTGTTCGTCAACGTACGAACGAGAAAAATTTAGATGACGTAAATTTTCGGCGCTTGTTTTGTTTATAAATTCCTGCAGCCGCTGGTTATCGGCGCTGGTATTTCTTAGAAATATACGTATAGATCATGTATCAACCCCCTTGATTGTCGGCGTATGCCAAGCGGTGGCCCTTCTTAGAATTTGATTATCTTAGATTTTCAGAGAACTGATTGTCGGCGCTCGGCTCCAAGCGGCCCTTCTTAGAATTTAATTATATTTCTTAGAAATATACAGATAACGTATGGGGGAAGAAACGCAACCCCTTGATTGTCGGCGTATGCCAAGCGGTGGCCCTTCTTAGAATTTGATTATATTTCTTAGAAATATACAGATAACGTATAAGGAGAAGAAACGCAAAAACCCCCCCCCCTCCCCTGATTGTCGGCAGCCCTTTGTAATAGATATTGTTTATCTTTTGTTTATAAACATAAACGTATGAGGAAAAGAAACGCAACCCCCCCCCTTCCCTGATTGTCGGCGGCCTTTTGTAATAGATATTGTTTATCTTTTGTTTATAAACATAAACGTATGAAGAGAAGAAACGCAACCCCCCCCCCCCACCCCCCGAATGTCGGCAGCCCTTGTAATAGATATTGTTTATCTTTTTTTATAAACATAGATAAGCTTATCTGCTGATAAGACCCCCGCCCGCGTGACGTCATACCCCTCGCCCCCGAAAACCCCCCCGCCCCCGCACCCCCCTCAGAGGACCCGGGTTAGAACCCCCCTAGTATTCCTACTATAATTATTTAGATATAATATATATAAAAAATTTTTCCGGGTTGAAACCCTGCAATTTTTAATTTTATTCATAAGACCACTATTTCTTGGACATAATGACCGTTGCCGGACTTTGAACCACCTTGTATATTATATATATATATATGGTAGATTGTATATTTCCTTTGAAAAATACATGAAAATATGCATATATCATCAAAAATATATAAAAGAGCAATATTGAAATTGTGTTCAACTATGTCATAAAGAGACACATTTATATATGTATGTTTTACTGTCATTGACGCTTAGATGCGTGTGCGAGATGATTCGACAGTAAAAATATATTATATTGTCTGATTTCAATATGTTGAACACACTAAAATAGCTTTTTGACATATATGGATTATTATCGATAATAGCGGAATTAAAATTATCGATAATTATCGACAATTTTAGTTCCACTCAAATGAGGGCGCTAACCCGTCGGAGTTCGGCTAACGCTCCGGCATCCCCTTAAATCTGATAAATAAGTGTTTTTAATTTTGTGATTGAGTGGTTTCGATTACAGTTTCTCAGTTTCTTAGAAAAAGAAATAGAAATTCGGTAAATTAAAATTATGTATATGTAGAAATTCAGGTAATTTAGATTTTTAGATTATGTACGTATTTCCATTATAAGATATAATACCGAATTTGAAATCAATATTTACTACCAATACAAATTTATTATCTATATTAAATATAACAACAAAGGAAACCGATAACTATAATACTGACAAGATTTTGAAGGAAATGATTGAAAATTTAAATAATAAATATAGAAATAATGAATGATTCAAACACAAAATCGCTATGTACGATTAGCAATAATATTAATATTGAAGACAGTTATATTCCGAAAGAAGTTTATAAAACGCTTGATACTTATTTAACGAAACTTGTAGAAAAAGATGGAAAGTACAATTCTGGAATTCAGTCATCATGTCAAATCAATCTTTCAAGAGTAATAAGGAAAATGATAGCTTCGTGAATTTAGAAAATAAGTTGGATATCACTAGATTTCGTATTATATGCAAATTGCATATTTGTTATTTTTGCATATTCTATAAGACATAATAATTTGAATAAAATTATAATTTTTAAATTAATAAACATTAATTAGTTGAAACTATTATAATTTTTTACATTATCAATGCTGTCGTAAAATGTGCAAAAAGTAACAAATATGCATTTGCATATAATCTGAAGTCTAGATATCACTAATATAAAGTCTAGAATAAAGGATTTTTATTATATTGAGACATAATAAAAATTCAATGAATTAAAATTATGCTGAGACATACCTAATAAAAATTCGATAAATTAAAATTATGTCGAGACATAATAAAAATTCGATAAACTACAATTATCTCGAGACATAATAAATAACGATGAATTAAAATTATGTGGAGACATAATAAAAATTCGATAAATTAAAATTAAGTCAAGACATAATAAAAATTCGATAAATTAAAATTCTGTCGAGACGTAATAACAATTCGATGAATTAAAATTAAGGCAAGACATAATAAAAATTCGATGAATTAAAATTATGTCGAGACATAATAAAAATTTGATGAATTAAAAATTATGTCGAGACAATAAAATTAGATAAATTAAAATTATGCCGAGA